AAAAGTTCAAGATCTTGAATCCAAAACAATGACGGCTCGTGTTTCAAAATTCAAATTCGTGGGGGGATCATCTACTCTATAGATCTATGTTGGATCATCAAATCGCTGGTTTGGATAGGTCCAATCGACAATCTAGAAAATATTTAAAAATAAAAAGATAATTAAAATAGGGGTTTATTATAGAGAAATTTAGGAGGGAACTTAAAAAAAACATAAGATAAGCTTTAGAAAAAAACAAAAAAGAGTTAAAAAGAAAGGTTGGGGGTTTGCTGATATATTCTCAAAATCTGTCCGTCCCGGCCGATTCCCGATCCATATTGGTGGGTTTTAAAACACGATATTATAGTTGAGCCATCAGCCTAAACTAGTTTTTACCCATGGGCATCAACTTCCACCCTCAAGCACATTTTGTACACTTACTCTTTCAGGAAAAGAGCTTTAAAAAGATTTATCAAACTAAAATTTATTTTGGAGTCTATTTTAGAATTGAGTATTATATTAAAAAAAAAATTATATTAGAGGTGTACTTTAGAATCACAAGATGAATATTACATTAAAAAAAAAAATAGTTGAGTTGAAACGCCAAAAATTATAATGTCCTAAAAAAAACTTTTATAAGTTTTTCATCTCCAATGGGCACATAATAATATATATATACAAAAAGACCATTTATTTTTGATGTAAGGAAGTCATAATCGCTCGTCCATCAAATTTCAAATCCGGTGGTTGGGAGTATAGTATTGACTATGTTTAAAGTTAAAAAAAAAGTTCTTGAAGTTTAAAACACGTTACTAGCTATCCAGTCCAATTTGAAATCAGATGGCTGGAGGTGTTTGCGGCCTCTTTGTAACAAAGATGAATAGAGTTATACAATCCCATATTTACTTATATCCCCAATCAAATCAAATTATAGAGTACGAATGGCAAAACCCTAGCTAAGGGTATATACTTGGGACCCCAAGTTTTGGAGATGTGAGCTGCGCAACCCAAGGACCCACCTTTACAAAAACTCTTCAATGTACTCTGAAAATGCATGACAAATGAAAGGACCTTGAATAATCGATCAAAAAAATAAAATAAAAAGACCTAGAATTGCACACAAATCATCCAACTTTTGGACAGGTAGTTTCAGGTGTTCAGGTTCTCAGTATCCTTTTTTTCTCTTTGGTAGGTAAAAGAGAATCAAGAAAAAAAACAAAAAAAGATATTCAAAGTATGCTGCGTATTGACTGCATGAGGCTCAGGCAAAGGAAGACAAGAGGGGACAGCAACTTAGGAAGGAGGAGTGGAAAGTTTGCTACAAATGTAAAATTACTCTCTTTCTAACGCAGCCCCCATCTCTCTCTCTCTCTCTCTACTAAAAGGAAGCAAGTTGGACACTCTCTCTCTAACGCGGCCCCATCTTTCTCTCTCTAAAAGGAAGCAAGTTGGACACTCTCTCTAACTAGCCCCATCTCTCTCTCTCTAAAAGGAAGCAAGTTGGACTCTCTCTCTAACGCAGCAGCTCTCTCTTTCTCTAAAATGAAGCAAGTTGGACACTCTCTCTCTCTAACGCATCCCCACCTCTCTTCTAAAAGGAAGAAAGTTGGTTTCCCTCTCAGGCATACACTGCATAAGAGGATCCATAAAGATAGAGGTCTAGCATTACCAAAAAGGAAAAGTTTATATAGAGCTGAGGCTTTGAACAATCAAATTAGAGCCTATCTCAAAGATTTCACATCAAATATCCTCAATTTTGTTTTGATGCTCAAATATCCTCAAATTTATCATCTCGACATCAAGATGCATGGATATAAGAAAAAAATAGATTTCAAGTTTTGGAAATAGTGTATTTTGTAATGCATTTTTTGACTGTCAATTTTCAAGATTTTCAAATTTTCATAGATCTATCGATTTACACTATTTTTGAAGCTTTAAACTTTATAAATAAAAATAAAAATATACTTTAAAGCTATCATAAAGATTTCTAGTGTTGAAACCACATTTCTCGATACTATTTGAAGGTAGGCTCTAATTTGATTGTTTAGAACCTAGTGTCATGGCCTTGGATCCTACCAAGCCAACTTTGTATTGCATTAAAGAGCTTACAACTTTGCTTCATTGGTTTGGCCAAATGAGACCTCACCTATTTATAGCTTCCCATCTCCTTAATGGATGATAGAGATTAATCCTAATCAATGGTTAGGATCTATCCTCTAGAATGTCCCCTCCTCCTTAGTTACAAATATCTGAGATATTTACAAGGAATAATCTAGATATTTACAATTCTAGAATTATCATAGGAAATGTCTAAGAATCTCTAGAGAACTCTCCAAGGGTCTAGAGTCTTCTGGATCCTCTTGGATTTGCCCCCTTCACTTGTGGAGATGAAGCATTCAACGCGGAGTGTAACACTACGCTCTATACAAACCACACCCTTATAAAAAAGAGGCAATTTAAGATATTTTATTAGAAAATAGTCAGTCTCACAATTAAGTATATCATCAAACTCTTTCACCCTCTTTTCATCACAAGCTACTCCTATCACATGGGGTTTTTTGTAAATTCATTTTTTACCTAGTAATAACCTCAAAAACTCTAAGAATGAGTATTTGTATTTCCAACTCATTTGCTTCACATTATATCAATGTGTCATCTGCATATTGTAAATGTGACACCATAGTCCCATTAGTTTATACTAAGAATCCATTCAGCACCCCAAACTGTATAATCGATGTAAGCATCATGCTAAAAGTCTCTCCCATTATTGTGAATAAAAAAGGGGATAAAAGATCCTCTTGGCAAATCCCCTTGGTTGTTTTAAAAAAACCGTTGGACTTGCCATTGATTTGGATTGAGAAATGTGTTGTTTCAAACAACTTTTGATCCATGATATCCATCTTTCACCAAAACCCATGACTCTCAGGGTATTCAATAATATCTTTCACTCAACTATATCATAAGCTTTTTCAACATTAATTTTGCAAACAATCCCTGCTTCTTTCCTTGTTATTGGGGAGCTCATAACCTCTTGTGCACACAATATACTATCTATTATTTGCCTATTTTGAATAAATGCTGATTGAGGTCCTTGAATGACCAAAGGCAACACCATGATTATTTCTAAAATATAAATTTTGAATTTTCGGGACTCCCTAAATAAAGAAGTTTGCATTGGATCTCAAATTTATGGACCACTTACAAATCACCATGATTACTTTCAAAACATAAAATTTGCATTTGAGTTCTTTAACCCCTTAAAGCTGCCTCGTGATATTTTTTTCCTCTGGCTCACAAAGAATACATTTATTTATGATCTATTTTTTTATATAAAAAAGTTGGTGGCTGGGTTGAAGAGGATATATTCACAAAATTTGAAGGCAGAGTCTAGTGCCGCGGAAGGAAGACATCGTTTCTCGATCCTAAAAATTCTCCCGTCTCCTCTCTCTCTCTCTCTCTCTGTGTTGTGTCGTGTACGTACGTACGTACGTACGTACTACGTACTATACGTATATACGTACGTACGTACGTACGTAACGTACGTACTACGTACTACTACT